GGGTGCCATTGCTTCCTCAGGGATGTCTCAAAATGTTGTGCTAGTGGGATTGTGATGTGAAGGGGGGAATGAATACTGAGGTGAAGGGCGGACTCTGATGTGAAAAGGTGGATCCTTATGTGAAGTGGGGGGTAATTTTGATTTGAAGGGGGCACTTCAATGTGAAGGGGGAAGCCCACTTCTGTGTGTGTTCTTGTGTGGGGTCCCCCTTAAAATCTATGACATCATCTAAATCTGTTTTATAGACTGGGGTGTCTTGATCTTTTGCATACTTTTAAAGCAGGGCTTGACAAATTTGCTTTAAATCTAGGAGCCAGCTAAAAAAAAGTTAGGAGCTAGGTTTTTTTTTTTTTTTTTTAACTAACAAAGCTTTATTTTCAACTACAGTTTTAATTGGTGCATGCCGCGATACCTGACGTGTAGTGCAAGTGACGTTTTTGTACGTAGGTGCACCTGACTTGTGTTTCCATTTTTAAAATATTCTTTAATTTTTATTTAACTTTTTATTTTTTCAGCTTTCTTTTTACTTAGCTTCATTGCTATCACATGGGGAGGCTCACAAGCCTTCCCATGAGGATAGCAGGAGATGGCAGGTTCTCTTTAAGGTGACATTAGGGGTCTATTAGACCCCTAGTGTTTCCTTTCCACTTTAATAGCTTTAGCTGAGGAATGACAGCTGACTGCTGAGGCATATGAATGTAAGCCCAGCAGGCAGTGGCTGGGAGCAATAGCCAGGCTGCTATTGGCTATTTCAAATGGCAATAGCCAATAGCAGGCTGTCTATTGCACACACACCCACTGCCTGCTGTTAATCAGCAGATGAGGGACCTAAAAGTGAAAGAGGGGGCAGGGGGGCTCGGCAGGGGGAGGCACAGTTGCTGTCAGTGGTCTATCCTCCCCGCCAGGCACCAGCTGCAGTGGTCTGTGTCCCCTCTTATCCCAGCTGCCTCTGCTGATACAGGCAGGGAGAGCAGCGGGGATCGAAGGGGACACACTGCAGGATGCAGTGGGCTCCCGGCTGGGAGGAGATTAGGGGAGCAGAGCTGATGCTGGCGTGGACGAGGCTGATTAAAGTCCAGGCGCCAGGATGCAATTTCTAGTCGCCACAGCGACCTGGAACCTGGGATGTGTGGAGCCCTGTTTTAAAGGGTGCCACGACTTAAAAAAAAGTTGAGAAGCGCAGGTATAGACCAAGCATAGCCATGCTCATAGTGGCATTTGGAGTATAGAGGATTATAAATCCAGTTTCCAGGATGTGCTGCCAGATGCTGTAATTGGAAGGTACAAATTTGACAAGGGATGATGGTATTGAATTAGATTTTAGTTTTTTGCTGATTGGGTTTCGTGGCACTTTTACGTTTTTGGTTCTGTTAATCAGTGGGAAGTTTGATATGTACTGAATATGTGTAAATGATCTCATCATTGAGCTGTTAATATTGATAGAGGGTCTCTTGAAGTAATATGTTCTTTTATCCTTCCCAGTGTTTAACCCCGTTTCCTATTAAACACGAAGAGGAAACCGAGACACAGCCACCAAAATACCAAAATCCCTTGTTAAGCCAAACCGGCTTTTGGCCTCATCCCCCCCTGAGTACACGACTCTGATCAATACACACAAAAGGTTACATAAGATTAGCCGCAGATCAATGTTTAGCTATTATCTGGAAACGCGAGGAAGTGTCCTGACAGCGCCAGTGGAATACCAGTCTGCAGATGAAAGGTTAATTTGGCTGCAAGGAGAATATGAGCCAGAGGACACGAGTGTAATTGCCGCTGTGATAAAATTAAATGGAGAGGTCTGCGATCATCCAAAGGAAAACGTACAGTGAATGACCACATGCATGATATGTACTGATACAGAACACACAGCAGGCCTCATTTGTTGTACAGTTATAAAATATATTTTATAAAGGGGATTCTTTTGGTTCCTTTTGTATTAACGAGGATTTCTGAGAATGCTAGGTGCAGTAAACTCCCTGTTATCCGGCATCCACGGAGATTGGTAGATTCCAGATAATGTAATTTCTGGTTGCTTGACAGCTACCATTAAAAATACTGTAGGTCTATCAAATGCCATACCTCATACTATACCAAACCATGACATAAACTCTGTATTGACTTCATATTAATATTGAAATGCAGTAATCAAAAGCAAATTAAGACAAATAGACACACTTAAAGCAATTTAAGACAAATAGGCACACAATCGTTTCCAGGATAATGCATGCCGCAGATCAGCAGAACAATTTTTTTTTCTGGTTAGATAAGAGTTCTGGTTGAATTCTGGATAACAGAGAGTTTACTGTATTATTTTTTTTCCCCTTGATTTCCATCACTTTCTGTCCCAGTGACAATGATCAGCAGGACACATAGAAAGGAGAATCTCCCCAGCGCAGACACATGTAGCAATAAAAGCCTGACAGAGGATCTAAGTCTTCTCATCTCTGACCAAATCTTAAAAGAAACAAAATGAAACCCCTGTTTAGCAGGTTACTGTCCATATTTCCTGCATGACCCTGATTTACTAAAGGGAAGAGTGTGTGCACTTTCAAAGTGAATTTTGACTTATGTTTACTCAGAAAAGGAGGTGAAGTTGTGATGTCTTCAATCGTCCAATCATGTGAAAGCACAAATCCTGTTTTAATTTTCCTTTCACGTGATTGGATATTGCAAAAGGAATTGCTACATTGTTTCACCCCATTCGCTAAGATAAGCGAAGATTCACTTTGAAACATGCTGTACTCTTTTATTAAATCCTCCTCGCTGTGTTGTATGTCAAATGTCTATCCCAATGTTAAATGCTCAGTAAGTGTAGAGCAGGGTGGGCAACTCCGGCCCTCCAGCTGGAAATAAAAGTCCCATGAGGCATTGCAAGACTGGCAGTTACAGGCATGACTCCCAGAGGCAAAGGCGTGTTGGGATTTTGTAGTTAAGGAGGCCTATGATTAAGCAAGGGCCAATTGCTAATTTTTTTGTCTAGGAGCTAAAAAAATTAAAAGTTATACTTGCCAGACCATCCCAGCTGGCTCACTGCTTCTGTGATATCTGAAGCGTGTCTACTCCTTGCTGCACAGATGAACTGCTCCTCGGAGTCCTCCCGTCTATACACAGTCTATACACGGGGGAATTTATCAAAACTGGAGCAGATTTTGCACTGCAACCAATCGGCTTCTATCTCTCATTTTCTAATCTTACCTTAACTGAAGAGAAATGCTGATTGGTTGCCATGGGCAACTGCTCCAGATTTTGTCTGCTCCAGTTATGATGAATCCCCCTCACGGTCTATACACAGCATATGCACAGTGTATAGAGCGGACACCAGGATCCTTAGACTGCTGCAGCAGAGGATCAGAGATGCCGGAGACCCCGGTCTAAGAACAAGCCAGCTCTGATGGTCTGGTGAATATACACTATATTGCCAAAAGTATTGGGACGCCGGCCTTTACACGGACATGACCTTTAGTGGCATTCCAGTCTTAGTCCGTAGGGTTCAATATTGATTTGGCCCACCATTTGCCACTATAACAACTTCAACTCTTCTAGGAAGGCTGTTCACAAGGTTTAGGAGTGTGTCTATGGGAATGTTTGACCCTTCTTCCAGAAGCGCATTTGTGAGGTCAGGTACTGATGTTGGACAAGAAGGCCGGGCTCGCAGCCTCCGCTCTATTTCATCTCAAAGGTGTTCTATCGGGTTGAGGTCAGCCCTCTGTGCAGGCCAGTCAAGTTCCTCCACCCCAAACTCGCTCATCCATGTCTTTATGGACCTTGCTTTGTGCATTGGTGCGCAGTCATGTTGGAACAGGAAGGGGACATCCCCAAACTGTTCCCACAAAGTTGGGAGCATGAAATTGTGCAAAATGTCTTGGTATGCTAATGCCTTAAGAGTTCCCGTCACTGGAACTAAGGGGCCAAGCCCAACCCCTGAAAAACATTCCCACACCATAATCCCCCCTCCACCAAACTTTACACTTGGCACAATGCAGACAGAAAGTACCGTTCTCCTGGCAACCGCCAAACCCAGAGACATCCATCGGATTGTCAGATAGAGAAGCGTGATTGGTCACTCCAGAGAACACGTCTCCACTTCTCTAGAGTCCAGTGGCGGCGTGCTTTACACCACTGCATCTGATGCTTTGCATTGTATTTGGTGATGTAAGGCTTGGATGCAGCTGCTCGGCCATGGAAACCCATTCCATGAATCTCTCTACGCACTGTTGTTGTGCCAATCTGAAGGCCACACGAAGTTTGGAGGTCTGTAGCCATTGCCTCTGCAGACATTTGGCAACTTCTGTGCACTACAGCATGCGCTGACCCTGCTCTTTCATTTTACGTGGCCTACCACTTCGTGGCTCAGTTGCTGTTGTTCCCAGTTGCTTCCACTTTGTTATAATACCCCTAACAGTTGACCGAGGAATAATTAGTAGCAAGGAAATGTCACGGATGGACTTATTGCACAGGTGGCAACCTATCACGGTACCACGCTTGAATTCACTGAGCTCCTGAGAGCCACTAATTCTTTCACAAATGTTTGTAGAAGCGTCTGCATGCCGAGGTGCTGGATTTTATACACCTGTGGCCATGGTGGTGATTGGAACACCTGAATCCAATGATTTGGAGGGGTGTACCAATACGTTTGACAATATAGTCGAACTTTTTTTTTAGCACCTAAACCCAAAGAGCCCTGAACCCTAGCAGAGCGGGACTAGCCCCACTACAAGGGTTAATAACATTTTTCCTAGAGTTCTTCTTTAAAGCACAGCTGGAAGGCCGGAGTTGCCCACCCCTAGTAGAGATTAGGAATAATACTTACCTTATTCCTTGCTCTGGCAGTCTCCCTCCGTCTGTGGGACCAGTCCTGCAAAATTGGAATTGGGCTTTAACAGTGTGGAGGCCTTAAGCAGAGAATAAGGAAAAGGGGTGATGGTGTAACCAGGGGCTTGATTCATTTATAGATGTTATTTTTGATGTCAGTAACACTTTTTTTTCCGTTCTCTTCTTAGGTGTACCAGCCAACATTGCTGATTTGAAAAACTTGGAGGTGCTTAACTTTTTCAACAACCAGATTGAGGAGCTTCCAACGCAGATCAGCAGTCTTCAGAAGCTGAAACATCTTAATCTCGGGTATGATTCCACAACCGACTTACACTAAGATGAGGATCACGGCAGTGTTGTCTTTGATGATAGATGACCTTACAATGGCTTATTCTTGTCCATAGGCAACAAGGCAGGAGGGGGCAACACTGGTATTTACCAGTGACCTTGAAGCTGACCGCTTTTGCCTCCATAGAGAGCCTCACCTACATCCCCTGACCGCACGTCCCTGGTATTTACACAAAAGCATTTCCATTGCTCTCATTAATTGTAAATTAAAGTGATATTAAACCCTCAGATTTTTTAACATAAAACAATACTGTAATGTGCGCCTTACTGTAATCCATGGTTGTTTCCCTTCTCTTTGCTGCTCTTCCTTTTAAATCCTCATGTCTTCTCATGCTTGGGGAGAACTTCCCTTTGCAGCTCAGTGCATCTTCCTGTAGTACTGGCTCAGGTTGCAAATGTACACACAGACACCATGTAGCCATTCTAGAGACAAGGCAGTCTGCTGCAAAACAGAAGTTCTGCAGAGCATGAGAAGACATGAGGATTTAAAAGGAAGAGCAGCAAAGAGAAGGGGAAACTACCATGGATTACAGTAAGGCACACATTACAGTATTGGTTTTGCAATTGCATTGCAGGCATGTCAAACTTCCATTTTGTATACCCCATGCTGCCCTCTCATTTCTTCTTTGTACCCCTTACCATTTTTTCCCTCATGCATAGCAAGTCCTCTCCTGTATTGAAGCTGATAACTCTCAATTCAACACTTTGAAGCTGCAGCAGCTATCATGAGCCTACCCTCATTTTTGGCTGAATGACTTCCAATATTCATCAATAACCTCTTCTTCTGATTTGTACTGTTGTTGACTCCCCACTTACAGCTGTTAGCTTTCTCTGTCATTTTGTTCCTGAGTGTTATATGAACACACATCGGCATCCCTTTTGGACGTGCTCAAGCAGCCAATCACCAGAGTGCACAGCTACAGTGTTCAGCACCCAAAGCAAGCAGGGCAAAACAAGCATTACTAAAAGGATCCTGATTCCTGCAGATGTGTTCTTTAATATAATGGTTTTGAAGGAAGATAAGGGTGAAAAAGGAAGGATGCTGTGATGTTTACAGCCGGCTCCTCCCACTAATGAGCAACAGACAGATGCATTGAAGAGATCAGGTGGTCTTAAAAGAAGTTCTTGAACAAAATGATTTGCCGAAACATTTGATTCCATATTGCGGGGATGGGGGGGGGTTATTATATGTGTGTACTACATTTAGCTTTAAGAATTTCAATTGAATGAGTCCCCATTTGTCCTCCCTTTGATAAAAGCTAAATGTCATTACATAATTCTGCAGCTGCAAGACATCAGACATTTTCTTTGGCCCCTTTCTCTGGGACAAGATGTCAGCATTTTAAATTGTTTCTATAATGTCAAGTACCTGGAGTGCGATTAATCTTTTTTTGAACTAGAGTAGTTGTGGTCCTCAGTAGACCTAATGCGGACTTTCAGAGATTTTTTTTTTTCCAATGAAAGCAGACCACCGAGTTTGTCACTCCTGCTTTATAACATTAGCTTATCCCTTGTCAGTCACTTAAAGGAGAACTATGAGGTGAGTGATTTCCACTCATCCTCATAGTTAGAGCCGATTTGCGACAATGAAGCTGTTACAGGTCGGCTCTGTTGATCGGGAAGTGAGCAGAAACATGCCGCCGATCCGCTCACTTCCCGATCGTCTCCCTGCAGGGAGCGGTGACTGTCGGTCACGGCTCCCTGCAGGGATTCCCTCCTCCCCTCTCTGATCTTCCATCGCTGAGTGGAGGAATGAACAGGGGAGGGGGCGGGTACAGCTGGGTCTGCCTCTTGACAGGCAGAGCCAGCCGTCACTCAGGCAGCTGGGTGGATCTCGACCGTACTTTTGGGATCTGTCCCGGCTGCACCAATCTCGGTATATCGCGGGGCAATAGCAAACCTGTGTTCAGACCATTAATAGACAAAGTAGCAGGTATACTTTAATGTCTCTCTCCCCAGCAGCATTTTTTTGCTTGCTCCCAGTGCTCTGTTCATCCTCAAGAGTAAAGAAAATACCCAGTACTTCTTGCTTACCTTCATCTCATGTGACAGTGCTCCTGCTTGGCGATGGACCCAACGCTGTCACATGGGCTTGGATAGATGGCAGTCCTCCCTTTGTAAATTCTAACCAGAAAGACTCAGATCTTACTAAAGGATTTCTTTCAGTGATCCGGCTCCTGCAGTATATAGGGAAGATTTTTCCTACATAAGGAAAAAACAACTTTGCCTTAAAGTGAAACTGAATTAAAAAAGTGAAGATTTGCTTTATTATAGAGAAAATATGGACATTTTAATTGTGCCTAAGCAGGACCCTGGTAAATCTAACTTTTACCATGAATTCTCCTGAAACATATCCGGTGCACTTCCTGGAATGTGAGTGTGCCTTCAAGCCTCTGCTAGTCTCAGTAGATTTGGAGTAAGATTTGGTGATGTCACTACTGTGCTTCTCACTGTTCTCCTTGCTGGAGGATCTAAAAACGTCCTGCCTTTCTAAGATGGCGGCCCCCACACAGAGACAACTTGCAGAACAAGCCATGTTAATTCAGTAATGGAAATGATCAGCTGCAGGGAGACCACAGGCAATACTGGTGACTGGTCCTTGCCCTCTGAGGGCCTTTTTTTGACCACAGCTTCCGGAGTTCAGTTCATCCTTAAAGTGGTCCTTTCACTTTAACATTTTCCTTAGATTATTTTTTATGTGTTGCAAATTCGGAATTTGTTAACAAGATGCTACTAAGTGATAAAAGTTCCACGTGTAGAGGAGTAATAAAAGGTAAAATCCTCTGTTTCTAAGCCGATGAGAGATATTGTCATCTTGCAGACTTTCATAAGTGCTGACACAGGGAAATTTCAACTTCGTCCTCAACATAAGTGAAGTCGTCAGTAACAAGAAAAAACAAAACCTCTCCACATTCATTTCCGTTATTAATATATCCGGTATAAAGTTTTGGACTGGGCTGAATATCAAGTGCTTTTTCTGGATAAAAATAGAAGGCAATATAGTCCCAGCAGGGTTATTCAAACGTCTATATTTCTAAGTATTTGAGTGTTCCATCAATTTTTTCCTGAAAGCTGTTCCATTCAATCAGAATACTGGGGAAGATTGTTTTAAAGGCCCGAAGAGTAGGGCAAAAATAATGGCCGTAAATCATATTATTTTGGCAAACAATCATTCTTGATCAGGGATCTTTTTTTCTTCACTGACTCAGACAAAGTAATCAGATTTGATTCAAACTGTTGCTTGCAGATGGATCGTGCAGTATATAGGAACTGAAAAGAAGAACTGTGTTGCCCCAATCAGGTGCTTTCTTAAGGGGATGATCCAGTCAAGTCATGCTGGCCTGGTTTTGTAAACTCCTGATTTACGTTGGTACCATGGTCAACTTAAAGTCCCTTTTCCTTCATTTAGAATTTTATAGGCCAGGAAGTCTTAAAGCGGACCTTACACATATCTTTAAAATAACAACAAACACACCTTTAGAAATGTTTAGTAATTACAATCTACAAACACATAAATACAGTATAGGCTTTTGCATACCTTATTTTTCTTTACTTCTGTAAAGATTGCGGCACGTCCTTGCGTTCCACGGTGGAGCGCAGCCGCTAAACAGGAAGTTCTACTCGCGCCGATGCGTTCCACCGTGGAACGCATCGGCCGGATGACGTCACTGGCTCCTCCTATTCCTTCCGGCTTAAGACGCCGGCACACTGTCAGCTCGGCGTTCCACTATTGTGTGTGTGTGGAGTGAGCGCCTGCTGACTCTGCCGGCCACACGGATCCCTGGATACCCCATACAGAGAGAGAGAGAGAGTGACAAGGACAACAGGCCTCTATAACCACCACCTGCTGAGGGACGAATTCCTGTTTATACAAACCGCAAGTAACCACATACAGCTAAGCATTGGGAATTGCTCCATCTGCTGGTTGCCTCCATACTACATGCACCTGTGTCCTATTTAACTCTGCAAGTAACCTCCCCCCTTTTAAAAACTACTGCTGATTGAAGTGCCCACTGACTGTTGCAGCTATATGCTGGTATGAACTGTTACATTCGCAAGTAGCTTGTGTCTTCAATATTACTGGTTGCTGCTCTTTTCAACCTGCATTCATGCCCACAGTGTCGTCAGCAACTACCATATTCCTCCAACATTGTTTATCTAAGACCACTCGTATGCTGTAAATACGTCTAGGTCCCTTAAACCAATTTAATTGCTTCCACGGTAAATGATGGTCGGACTCCTAACTCTCCGTATCACAGATTGAGAGTGACGCCAGGAGTCCAACACTGACTACCGTACCTCCATATTAAAACTAACCTATTCTTCTGACGCTGTTACCTTGTTCCGCAGCTGTGATTCTAAAACCGTTTGGCCAGGGCCTTATAACTTCCCCTTTGTCTGACAGTGGCCATGTTTACTAAGGGCAGATTACTAACTCTCCTATTACTTCCTGGGTGTCTGGCACATGTGACTAGACATGTGACCATGCACATGATCTCAGGGGAGGAAAATGCCTTTCCCTGAGATCTCGTGAGATTACAGATGAGATTTCTCAGCAATGATCTGCTAATGACAAGGCAATCCCAGTGGGCATTGCGTTGGCATAGTGAAGTCTTTTTGCACTTTTCAAAGCAGGACGTGAATACTCTGCAAGTGTAAGTATTTCACAATCACAGCATTTTACACCGGACATGTCTATATTTTTATTAATCACCATACATAGAGGGATGCATTGGTAGATTTTGATTGTTGTGTAAAGGTCTAATTGCATTCATCATAAATCTTAGTCCTGTAATGCCACCTGCTCCCCCCCCCCCAACCTTTTATTAACAGAGCTATGACAACAGCTGCTCCCGCGCACATGGTGATGATTGACAGGTAGCTGGCCAAGCAATGGCACTGTGATCTGCTCAGCCTGGTGACTTTTTCCTTATAAGTTTTGCAAACTGAGAAATTTAGTTCTCATGGGGGAAAGTTCTGGCACTTAGAAGGATGAAATCCCTTCTCATTTCACCTTCTGAGGATGATTGTATATTGATATCAAATTCTGGTTATTGTAAATAAATCCTGGTTTATTCTTTAATGGGCATGGTGATTGTTAATTACTAAAATAAATGGCCCACTCGTTTCTTTACAGCTGACCTAAACCTAATTGTTCCCTTTAAAACGTTGTCAACCTTAATTTAAATACTTAGGGACTCCTTTCCTTTATCCCTAACAATGCACATGAGAAGTCCTTTTATTTGGCCAAATGCACTGAATCACAGTACATACCTGGTGATTCTGCCAGCCCCCCTCTTTAACACCCCCTCCTTCTTTCCTTTACTTTCTGACCACGCTAAGCACGGCAACAGATGCGTCCTAGCGTAGTCCGTTAGCTTTTCTCCTTTTAATTTGAGGGCTTCAGGACACCGGGCTGACGCACGGCATGCTTGTAAGTGCTGTAGATAGGAAGTGTTCAGGGATGTCAATCATCCCTCAATGCCAGCTTACAGCAAGAGGATGCTACTGCTGCCCCCATGGAGAGAAAAAGCTCCTTGGATATGTGATGTTGCAGATCGTCACAAAAAGTCTCTACTTTCAGCCATCAGAGCCTGAGGATAAAGCTCTGAATAACGGTCACATTTTTCTTTTTATTATTATGATGTGTATAATATGTGTATCTAGCATATAGCATTCAATGTTTTTTTTAATTGAAGTGTTTAACATGTACTTTAAGCTTTTTCGGGGTTGGATAAGTAAAATGTAATAAAATGGCTAAAAGAATTCCCATTCTAGGAGAAAATACTGAGTCACGCTTCGTACAATGATGGTCATGCGGCCTCTCTTGATGAGTTAGTTGAGGGTTCAGACTGGCTTTTCCTCCCCTTCAGCTTAGAAAAGGGAACTTCCACCACTCATCCTCAGTTGGCGCACTTACTGAACTGAGGAAGCTATGGTCTTTAAATTGTGTGTATGTGTGTGTAGAAATATACTGTGTGTCTATCTATGCTGTATATTTGTGTGTGTTTTATTGGCATGCATCGTTGGGCTATCCAGGATTCCCCAACCTGGTGCATCAAATGCTACTTTACTCTTCTTGGTTCCCTCATGGGTCTTCAGTGTGTTGGGTGTTCAGTGTGATGGTCTGTAACCGTATTCAGTAAGAGAGCTGGAGAAGGTGAGGCTTGGCTTCCTTGGCAGTTCCTGCACCTGAACAGTAACTCCCCATTGACTGACATAAGACTATATGCCTTGTGTCTCTCCTGCAAGCGTTGAGGTCCATTTAATTGTATAGGGAGGTACTGTGCAGGGGCAGGTAGCCCTGGAGAAGATTATGGGTCTAAGCTGTGAGAAATGTAACTGGCCACCACCATTAGAAAGAGGTAAGAACCTGGCTTTGGGGGAGGGATAAGGTTGGATTTGGCTACGGGGTTTATAACAACTAGAGTTCTTTTTTTTTGTAAAGATGAAAATTTAAGCTTTGCAATGAATAGAGGAGCCACAGACCACCTGTCTGGGGGTTCAGTTTTTCATCCAGAGGTTGTTGTATGCTGTCCTTGTCATTAATCTGGTGTTCCATGAACCTTTGTCTGTAATGCTGAAGGGGTATTCCCAGACACACCTACTGCAGGATCTTTCCTGTCCTACACATACACAGATCCATCCACCACATTTAAATCTACTTGGACATTCTGTGGAATGTGGTTGGGGTTCATGATAGTTTCAGAATGTATACTCCTATTGGCCATGTAAGGTGCTCTCCAGGTTTCTGGCTGCAATGGAATGCAGAGAATTCAGAGTAAGGTAACTGGAGTTACATTTCTTGAAATGATTTTTTTCAGCACAATTGCAGTATTTGTTGTTAAGCCTTTACTGTCTGATTTTTTTTATTTGTTGCCTGGAATTGCTCTTTAATTCTAAACATAGATTTGGGTTACAACAGCTCCTTTTCTTGTGTCTTTCAGCATGAACCGATTAAATTCCTTACCAAGGGGATTTGGCTCCTTGCCGTCACTGGAAGTCCTTGATCTGACTTATAACAACTTGAGTGAGAACTCCTTACCTGGGAACTTCTGTTATCTAAGTAAGAACATTCTCGGTCTTGCTTTCATGGCCTCTGTATAACAGAGGTGCTCAATGATTGTGGCCCCGGTGTCAGTATATTGCGTTCAAGGACCCCAACAGTCCTTACCCTCAAAATAAACTAATCTATAGAACTTTGGTGAATGAATATCATTTCTAACAATATAGTGATCCCAGTAAATGTATTTTGGGATACTTTCTTGGGTCCTGATCCATATTTTGCACATCTAGACTGTAGACACTACTGGACCTCATACCAAAAATACATTCCAAATGGTAATTACATATTTTGTGTCTATGATTTGTTTATGAATTTAAAGATACAAAGGACACCAATTCACGTATTAATATTTTTTAATTGATTTATATTTCTATAGTACTTTTCTCTGTAGTCAAGAGAGGAGCACAGTGGTATGCTGCTTCTCATTGACTGTCCGGTCACAGACTGGGGGTGGAGACCAGACCAAGTAGTAATGCTAAGCTGCGGTAGAGAAAAATCAGGTCACCAGACTGACTGTGCTGTCTGGCTGGGCTGTGTAAATCCCTGGACACGATGGTTAGATATACAAATCACTTGTCTAGTAAAACATCTCTTATATATGTATTTTATTTGTTTAATTAGTTCAGCTTTCATTCCTAGAGTTCAGCTTTAAAGGATCCTTCTGTTTTAAAATATCTTCCATCGATGTGATGCAACTTTCCAATCAATGTCATCCTTTCAGGAATATACAGCCACAATGCTCAGGGACAAAAGGCCACATGCATTTAATCCTAAACCTTTCACCTCCAGACAAAGGAACTGAATATACAAGATACAATAAACAGCAAAAAGTGATAGACGGTATCGTTCAGATTGTGTCCGGTTGCAGAAATCTACAAGATAACGGTCACACAGTTCTGTATGTTGGCAGGCCGCTTACTTTTTACACTACTCTTTCTATAATTCTTTAAAAAATCAATGGCTCTTGCGTGCACTATAAAAGCACGTTTGCAGTTCAGAAATTCTGTTTCCTATAAAATGCAGATGAGTCCATAAATGCCGGCCAGTTTATAAATGCATCACCCAGAGGATGTTATACAACAAGACACGGATAAGTGGGGAAGTGAGCTTCTCGGAGGGCTTCAGAGTAGTAAGGAAAGAATATTTCACCAAAGTATGTATGTATGGGAACCTTCATGTTAGAAAGTTGTACTTTTTGAATTAATTTGCAACTGACCGGTTCACTTTAAAGTGAACCTGTCACACAAACACCTCTATTTGGGGACTTGCACAATAGTTTAGAGAACACAGATACGTACAGTGTATAGTTTTGTAGGCATGTGTTAACAGCAGTATAAAAGACCTATGGGCCCATTCACGCAGCTATGCTTGGCAGTGTAATGTTGCGTTTAGCAGCATAGAAAGAAAAATAGCACAAAGCTGAGTCTGGGGCCGTATTTAGAACCGTATTTTACGCTGTATGCATGTGAACATTTGTGCTTACCTTTACATGCGTGCACTGTACAGCGTGCATGGACCATACTGCCTACCACCACTGCTCAGATCTGATACGTAAATATTAGCAATGCGTGGCTAGTGGCGCTGCCAACACTGATTATACACTATTGATGTCTACATGTCCACCCTAATTTAGTCATTCATGCAGCGGCAGTGCGTGCACAGAATGAGCTCTGCCGATTCCCAATGACTGAACGCCGAGGTCATTTTGCACATGCACCGCCGCACATTTTAAAGTATCCTGCTTTAAATCTGAACATCAGGCAAACCGCTAAGTGCATACCTAAGATTTGTAAATTAGTTATTTTACATAATTGCCGCCTGTTTTATTGGCCAGGTCCTGGAGCTCCACTCCAAAACACACCAGGCTGCTGATTAGACAAGAAAGAGGCAGCAGCACACGGAGGAGTCATCCCTGTGCTCTCCTGTCTGCATGATCACTGTGAGCACATGTGCAGGCAGCAGACCCTAATTGGCTCTTTATGCTGGCCTTCCCTCTCCTTAGTACTGTTTTATGACAGATTATATGAAGCTGATATAAAAAAAAAGGTATTTAGCCAGATTTTAAAAAAATTAAATATTTATAATGACTACATAACTGTTAATTGGTGTTCTTTGTTTCTTTACCTCCCTGTGATTCCTCTTTAATTAAGAGCACATCATTTACATCACCACAGCGCATGCAGGACAGGTCCTCTTTAATTGTCATTCCCCAATATATAGATGTCTTCCTGTGTGCGGGAGTTGTACAATAAGCCTTTAAATCTGTGTTTGACCTCCTTGTTATTACCGTGAGCCCTGGGTATGTCAGAGGCTTTTCACCGAGCCGGGGTTATTAATCAGAGCTGACTTGCGCTATTGATCAGGGCCGCGGTGCTGCAGCTTCACGACACTCTGTTTATATATTGCTGTTTAATTTGCAGCCACCCTGCGTGCTCTCTATCTAAGTGACAACGATTTTGAAAACCTGCCGGCCGATATTGGGAAGCTCACAAAGTTGCAGATAGTAAGTAATTTATCTAAATTCCTGGAAAATCAATTCACTCTCTTGAGCCTTATTTTGTGAGAGTAAACTCGAGTCAATTTGAGAAGTAGCTGGGTGTTTATTTTGCAGAAATAAAGGACTGCGTCTATTAGCGTCACCCTGTCTTGTCAGTATGACCGCGTTCACCGGTGCTGCAGGGAATGTGGTTAAAGGGGCCTCTGCAGGCAGACAGTTTAAAAACAGAGCTGAACGCAAATGGGAAATGTGCCTTGTGATTTCACGGACCCTTATGCCCTGTGTATGAGCATAACATAGGAGAGAGACAACAATTTTCAGTACCTGCAATTCTGAAAGCTTCATGCTGCTACCCTGCCACACTGGTGATGCTCATCCTGAGTCTATGGGGATGTTTTGTAAATCACCCTTGAGACATACGCTGGCTGAAATGCCGTTTGTATGGCATTCTAGTCACTAGATGGAGACGAGGAGCATAGGAATTTCTTATGCTTTTTGGCTCCATCTAGTAGCTAGAATCCTTTGCCAACAGTATTCGGCTAGCGTGCCGAATTTCCTATGTTCCTCGTCTCTATCTAGTGACTACAAGGCTGTGTGAACAGCATTCAGCCAGCATTTGTCTTGACAGATGATTTCTCAATCAGCCCCTATCTGTTTAAATTATTTTTTTTGCCAATGTGACCAAATGTATGTAAAATATATCAGTTATTTATATCCATTATTCCTAGTTTGGAAACTAGGCTGCGTCTGGAAGCCATATCTGAAAATGTATATATGCAGATTCTTCTTTCTCCATGGTTGTGCTGCATGAGAACTGCAACACTGTTCCTGAAGCTCACAACAGACATTACAATCTCCCATAGATCTACCAACAACTATGTAGTGCAAAGACCTGCCTGATTGGATACCGATTGATTGGATTGATTAGGTAGGTCCTTATTTTACATAGATTTGGTAAATCTAAAATTAAAGTCACGCTAAACTCAGGAGTTAAATTTAAACAATGTAATCGGGCACGTTATCTATTAACAAAAATGTATCTTATTTGTGTATGACTCGGCTGTAGATCCTTCAATCATCTCTGAGTTGGTGCTGACACTGTCCTTCCTTCTGGAGGGTGGCTACTTTTGTTCCCCATGGTCCCTGTGTGTGTTGTAAAGTAGTCACCGCTCCAAGCTCACTCCTGTGATGGACTACAATCTCATGTTTAGTTTAATAATTTGTATTGAGATTGTAGTCCATCACAGGAGCGAGCTTGGAGCGGTGACTACTTAACAACACATACAGGGATCATGGAACAACAGTAGCCCCCCTCCAGAAGGAAGGACAGTGTCCGCACCAATTCAGAGATGATTTGAGGATCTACAGCTGAGTGATTTTTAAGATTTAACTCCTGAGTTTAGTGTCACTTTAATTGTACAACATTTGAATGGTCAGATTGTAAAATATAGGGTGACCCTAAGGCCTGCCATACACTGTTACAATTTGTGTGAAACTACCAAAATTCTTAAGCTGGCCATACACCTTACAACCATTGCAAGACTTTCGTCTTGCGATGTTGTAAGGTAATTAAAAAAACATATGATCTGCCCATCTCGGACAGGCAGATCGTACTTGCGATTATTGCAAGCCCGCCCTGCTGAGGGGCGGGCTTCCGATGACTGCAATGCTGAACGGGCAGTGTGCGCTTGCGCACACCGGCCCGTGCGGCATTTGTCTTACGAGCAGACCACAAACCTGCCGAAAATCGTACGATTCTCTGCGGGTTTTCAAACATGCTCGTAAGACAAAACACGTGCGACCGTACAGTAGAAACGGTTCCACACACCTGCCTGCACACCTGCACACCTTCCACACACCTGCCGATTATCGTATGATCGCGGGATTTCCTTACAATTTCCTTACAATTACAATTATCTGCAGATTTTCTGTGGTCAGATGGAAAAGGTGGAACAGATTCCTCCATCTACACTTAACTGTGTGGATGGAGTAATCTCCACCTGGGCCAATCTGTTGCACTTTTTCCATCTGATCTGACCACAGAAAATCTGCAGATAATTGTAAGGTGAATGGGCACCTTTACAGTGAGGTGGCCCTGCCGGCCCAACAAAAGTCGATTTTACTCAGGAGCTGGGCTAAAAGTTTTCAGCTGAACAGTGATTGGAGCCAGTCAGCTGCAGCCACTGATCAGGTATTGTAAGAGTGGCAGGCGTTGGCTCTCAGTATACAATAGCCACAGCGGGAGATTCACCCATCCATATTTAGCATGGATGGCAGAATCTGTTACATTTTTTTAATTCGGACTGTAGTTTGAACAAAAAAAATCTTAGTGGATTCACTTTAAGCACCCAATGAATAAGAATTGCACCGTTTACTGAAACCAGATTTATTTTTTTCTTTTAGAGAAAATGTTATAATGGGGAGCAATGTGTTAACGGGAAACTGGTCAGGGGGGTCAAATTTATTTTAATTGATATGTTTTGAAACTGATCGTTATCTTAATCTTTATAATAATAATCTTCGTTTTTGCTATTTTATATAAAATGTTTTAATGCATTAAGGTATAAAACGCCCAACTTTTAGTAATACAACAAAGCGTGCATCAATGACAGAGGATTCCCAGAGCACTAAAGGGAGAGCACAACAGTAGCTGTTTACTTTCATGCTCTTTCTTTTTCTCTTATTGTAATTCTGTTCTGAGCCATCTGCACAGGCAGGTAAGAGGAAAAGGAGGAACAGTCACTGCTATGACTCATTTGCCTGGAGCTATTGAGCTCTGTAAACGGCAAAGTAGATAAAGAAAGCCTAAAAAAATGTGAAAACGAGCTCAAAGCTCCATCTGGTGGCTGAAAAGGGGAGTACTAAATGTTCCTGTGCAATAGTTCATATTGACATGATGAAAAATGTAAAAAAAATTATATATATTTATATATATTCCTGTTCATAATAAATACAAGAACAATATATACAAAACCCACTGAAATCTGACTTTAAGCACA